CCATCCTGCTGAGGATGAGGGGGAGCACCGACACCAGGGGCTCCCCCCAGCCCTGGTAACCCCCAGGGCTCCGACCCTCCCCTCGTGCCCCTGTCACTCCCCTTCTCCTGACCCCCTGCGAAGGGGAAGGAGCTGCCAGGGCTTCCTCCCCAGCTGTGACGCAGGAAGGGCCGCGGTGGTTGTCAATCCAACACCTCAGACACATCAGTGAAAACAAGGAGCCAGGAGGATTCACGCTAGGCCGGGGCTGCCAGGTGACGTCCAAGATGCTGCTTGTTTTCCCAAACACAATGCAAAGCACCGCAGCACAGGACCGTGCCTGCCCCTTGGATCAGCCTTGCGGGCTTATCGAGGGAACGGGCCGTTCCAACCAGGCCGTGCAATCTGCAGAACACTCTCTGTCTCCAGGGATAAGATAAGGTCCTTGCGGCCTCCTGCCCCGGGACGCGTCGCGGCGGCAGCGCGTGCACCGGGCTCTGCAGCGGCCCGCGCCGGTCCCGGGAGGGCCACGCAGGGCTCAGCAATGACACCCTGGGACTGTCCCTGCCTGCGTGCGCGGCCGGGGCTCGCGCTGGAGGAAGGGGGCCGAGTTGAGACAGAGCTGCAGACTGCGAGCCGGCTCCCTGCAAGGGTTATGGGAAAGCTTTAGAAGAGAACTAGATCCTTTACCGAGTCTATAAGGACAAGAGTAAAAGGACTAAGCAGAGTCTCTCTGGTGTCTGTTGCCCAGTTTCAAGATCTTTGAAATCTTTAGTCACCAGATTGGTCTGAAATTGGCCTCCAGATTGCACATCATGGACAGAGAACCCAACAGGCATGCACAGATAATGTGATTGCAATGATTTTCTCAGGAAATAGGGCTCAATATGCCAGGTGGTGATGCTGTGAGGCCGTTTTCAGACAAGGAAACGCTCCGTACGCAGTGCCAACAGGAAGGGCCGGCCCTTGGAGAAGGAGCCTTCCCTGGCCGTGGACACCCTGATGCTGCAGGACGTGGCGGGTGGCCCGTGAGGAGCGCGACGTGTCAGCCCCGCGGTGCAGGAGCAGCAGCTGGGGAGGTGCAATTGGTGCCTCCCTTCTGCAGAGATGGAGCAGCCCAGGCCAGGCTTCCTCCGAGGTCCCCAGCGCCAGCTCCTGCTGCACCCAGAGGAAACGGTCGCCGTAGGCAGGGCCGTGGTGGGGCTGCAGGAGGGGCTGCACAGCCTGGCTCCAGCTGGGGCACCGCTAAGAACCGGCAGCCCCAGAGGGACCGGATTTAAAATGCTCTTGTTCTTCCTGCCTCAAAATTATTCTCTCTCCCACCTCCCTGCTTGTCACTCTGGTGTTTCCAACAGAAAACATTTGCTTTCCTTGCCCATTGCAAACACTGCTGTTGGGTTTCCTGTGTCCCTGTTCTCGTGGAGCTGCTGCGCTCCAGGGAGTCATTTTTCACCCAGTTCTACCTCCCCTGTCTCTTACACCACAAACCGATTGCAGTGGAAATGCCAACAGCCTCCAAAGCTCAGTCCTTTAGAACGAAAAAGCTGCACTGGCTACGCCGGGGCTGCCTTAAGCACCAGTGGCTTTTCGGCACTTTCTAATTACCGGATGACGGGCAGGGTCTCATTTTAGCCAAAGGAGCATTTGCACTCAGCAGAACTGCCCAGCAAGGGGGAGAATTTCCAAAATAGCTCCGTGGGCTGCAGGGAGCAGCCGTGGGACGCGCAATCCCCTCAGCACTCGCAAATGGTGATCCCTGACGGCCGGGAGAGAGAAACTGCCCTGAAACTTCATGGTGGGAGAGCAGGGCCAGGGCAGCAATCGCGGCCTTTCCACAGGCATGTGGTGTGCTGGGGATGGAGGTTTTTACAGCAGGGGATTCGTGTCTCAAAGGAGGAGTGTTGCTAGTCCTTGGTTGCTCAATTCTGCTTTTAAATGGGAGGGAAAAAATAATCCACCCCAAGCTTCGTCGCTGGCAGCCGGGCAGCCCCACGGGGCTGGGAGGCTCCGCGCGCAGGGACGAGGGTTTGGGGCAGCCC